GTAGGAGGCAATAACATGTAGATTAAGATGCCTTTTAGCTGTCTGGCAGCCACAATTTAATGGATCCTATTCAGGTTTGGGGAAATGCCTTTAGCCATTCCCAACAGGTGACGACATGTGTGACTCAACCCTGTTGAGTCCCTAAGTCTCATCAACCTTTTGATGAAACTCTTGAAATTATGACATGCTGGAACTGGTCTACGGCAAACATGCTTCTTGCATCTTCATCACTGTCTTGTGCCGCTGGCCACTCAGAGGGCAGCTGGGTGTGGATCCAAGAGTCTCTGGAGTTCAACCAACATCCAGCCAGTAGTGACATTCCAACCAAGTGAAAAAAGAAAGCCAATCCCAAGTTTAAACCTGTGCGATTCCTCTTATATAACCATCTCCACCTGACAAAACTCCAGTGATAGACAACAGGCCAGTGTTTCCAGAGGCTAGAGTGGCGGGGAGCGTATGACTAAAATGGGAAGGAGAGGGGGTCTCCTGTGGTCTGCGTTCTGTACCCTGACTGTGGTTACTTTAGTCTATACCTGTGATAACATGTCTAGAACTATACATGAAAAGCAAGCAAACAAATAAAAGAGTGCATTTCAAAACTGGTGAAATCCAAATAAGGTCTCTAGTTAATAGTCTTATGCCAGTGTCAGCATTTTGGAAAACCCTAACTTAACTCTGGTGCCGTGTCACATATAGAAACTTTTTGATATTTGCAACCATAGTAAAACAAAGATTTATATTTTTGATATGTATTTTATATATTTAAATGCCATTTAACAAAGAAAAATCAACCAAAAAAATGAGTTCGCGTGTCACCTCTGACACGCGTGTCATAGGTTCGCCATCACTGTGACTTATGCCAATCTCACTTTTCTGGTTCCAGTAATTATACTAAGACTATGTCACGTGTCACTATTGGAGGAAACTGAGGGAAGGGTGCTAGGGAACTCTGTGCTGTTTTTTCAACCTCTATGTGAATCTATATTTCAAAATGGAAGTTTAGTTAAAAAAGAGAACCCAGTTTGTGTTCTAGTTGGGATGGCATTATACTTACATACTGGGAGAATTGACAGTTTTATTAAATTAAATCTTCCTACCCAATAGTAGAATATGATTATCTATGTGTTTAGATCTTTCTTTATGTCCTTCACTAGGGTTATGGTTTTCTTCAAATATGTCTAATGCCTATATTTCAGGTTTTCTAAATATCGTGACTAACATATATTCCCATTTCCATTTTAATAGGCTTATGTCATATGATTGAATGGGGCTTTTTCTACTACATTTGTTATTTTCTTCTAGTTGGAGACTATTACCCAAATTCTGTATTTCCAACTCTCTGTCATACAGAGTCTCCACCTTCCTGTTATTTAAGTTTATTATCCCTCCCCCTCCCCCCTTTTCTCTCTGCATTATGTATATTTTCTCAAGTCCCTACTCCAAACTTCAGATGTGGGTTTATGTGATTTTAAGTTATTTTTATAGCTTCAGTTTTCTCTGTGGTTTCTTCTTTATTTATTTCTTCTTTTGACTGTGGTATGTTTTACTCTTTGCTATTTTCTTTTGTGTCTTCCAACTCCTATTTAATTTTTCTTGAGGACAGACTATACAAATAAATATTTCTAAAGTAAAATTTCTTTCAAAGATAATTTTTACCTCTGTTTTTGCATTGGTCCCATGGAGGTTTTTCACCAGCCAGGTGAAGGGGCATTCAAGAAGAGCACTCAGCCTTAGGCAGTTTGGCTCAGCAGATAGAGCATCAGTCTGCAGACTGAAGGGGCTCAGGTTTGATTCTGGTCAAGGACACATGCCCGGGTTGCGGGCTCGATCCCCAGTAAGCGGTGTGCAGGAGGCAGTCGATCAATATTTCCACTCATCATTGATATTTCTATCTCTCACTCCCTCTCCCCTCCTCTCTGAAATTAATAAAAATATTTTTTTTAAAGAAAAGAATTCATATAGATTGGGGTTATCTGCCAGATGTCAAAGCATCATAAAAACGTAGAAAATTTTAAAATGACTAAAAAATTGACACAGAAACAAAGATGGCCGCAGTGAAGCAAAGAATGAAGCAGAGTGGTGATCAGATGCAAGAAAGCAAGAAAGTCTCAGGAGGAAGTGCTCCCACAAGAGACTAACCAAAGAACATATGTGCATGTGTGCAGGGCCCATGCACACAGACTATAGTGCACAAAGGCCTGGGAGGGGGCGAGGGGGGAAGAGGAGGTGGAGCAGAGGGAGGGCGTCCACTGGGCGGGAAAGAGGACATCTGCAATACTTTCAACAATAAAGATACAGTTAAATAAATAAAGAAAAATTTAAAGCATTGAATTATTTTAAAAAATGTATTCTTTTCTGCTCTCCCATAATTTGTTATTGTTGTCAATTAAGGACTAATTATAATTCTAAATACTGTATGAACCCCATAGTATGTTATTACTATTTTTGCATTAATGAATTTGAAGCAATTAAAATCAAGTAAATAATGTAAAAAAAAAAAATAAAAAAGCCAGAAAAGGGTTCCAGCTCCTGTTTCCACTCTGTTCAGGGCCTCAGATGCTACCCTGCTCTTGGGTTCTGTGAGACACCTCTGTATTCTTATAACAAATGCTCTTTTTTTTTTCATAACCTTGCTCCAGTTTTGTCTGGTCTTTATAGCTGATGAGCCCTACCAGTAAAAGACTCAAACAAAAACAGATAAAATACCACACCATTCCTTCCACAGTCTCATTTCGTCCTTAGCTAAGATTCATTTTTCCCAAAGACAACTTAGACACACTTTAACATGCTCACCCACAGAGCTGTCTTTCTTCTTGGGCCCAAATTCCTTTTTTCAGAAGAGGACCTTTGCCATTATAGAGGGTTCATTTGCATAATTTGAGGGCCAGTTAGGGAGGTTTCCAAAAATTAAGCAACAGACTTCTTAATGAAGTACTCTTGCGAGATAGTAAGCGAGCCTTAAAGTCACAAGAGGTGCAGGACCCTGGTTTATGTATTACTGTGCCACCTTGAACTGCCATTGTGCCCTCCTCCCAGTCCCTGCCTCACTTTCCTCTCAGTCCTTGCTTCACTTTCCTCCCAGTTCCTGCCTCACTTTCTTGGGTTAATGAGTCCTTGTATTTCTGTGTTTACTTTGGACCCAAGGCTGAAGTTGTAGAATGGAAGCTACAGACTTTTTAAAAAAATATTTTTTTATTGATTTCAGAAGGGAAGGGAGAGGAAGAGGGAGATAGAAACTGAAAGGGCGAGGGCTACGCCCTCCATCTTGCCCCGAATCCTCCATTTTTGGGCAGCAGCCATGTGCTAACGAGACACCGACTTGTGCCTGGCCAATCGGCAGGGCCCACAGTCCTCTCTCCTCCCCTTACTATAAAACCCCTCTCCCCACAGGGCTGGCACTCTCTGCCACTTGCTCTGCGTCGGTAAGGAGGGTAGGGGAGCCAAACCCAGGTTTGAATAAAAGACTCTCTGCTTTTGCATCGGACTCGGCTGGCTCCCTGGTGGTCTTTTGGGGATCCTGAAATCTGGGCATAACAGAAACATCAATGATGAGAGAGAACCATTGATAGGCTGCCTCCTGCACCCCCCAGTTTGGAGATTGAGCCTGCAACCTGGTCATGTGACCTGACTGGGATAGGGGCCATGACCTCATGGTTCATAGGTCATACACTCAACCACTGAGCTCTGCTGGCCAGGCAGCTACAGAGTCTTTGTGCGACTGAAATTAAGAGAAGTCATTATTTCTCATTGTGTGAGAATAAAAGATGTTCTGGATTACTAACACACTTGCATAAATCTAATTGTCCTAGAAATTGTTAGGTCGGAGAGAGCCCAGGATCGGATACATGCAGACGTGTGACGAGATAATGGACTCCCCCTGGCATTTCTAACAGATCAGCATGCCAGACACAGATACTGGCTTCTCCACAACCCCCACACAGATACTGACTCCTTCCTGAATACCTTGCTGACTCCCTGCAGCTGAAACTTCCTCAGCTGAATACCTCAGCTCATGTCCCCGCCCCTCACCCAACCGCAGTATAAAAAAAGCGCTCCCCTCCCTGTTGGCGTGAATCCACCTGCCCTGTCCTTGGGGGTACGTGGGTCTCCCGGGGATGCAGAATAAACTTTCCTTCCTTCCTTCCTTTTCTGATCAACTCTCTTTATTTACTTCGCCGCCTCCTGAGCCACCTAACCTAACAGAAATCTTCTAAAAGAAACAACTTTCAATATGCTGAATGTTCAAACTTGTAGAAACATCACTCTCACAGAAATCATTTGCTTAAAAGCATTTCTCCATAAAAATCTAAGTCCACAAGATGAAATTGGTTTAATAAATTTTTTGGCTTATAAACAGCTATATGTCTTTTTCCTCATTTGATCAGTGTGGAGTATAATATAAGCATTTAATATTTGAAAAAAGTATTAAGCTAAATTGAATTATAATCTTTAAAATATTCTGTTGATAACAATTTAATTCTATGGTGTGTCAGCTGAAACATAATTTTCAAGATCCTTAGCTAACTTTAAGACCTGAATCAAAGCAAGCCCGGCTGTTGTGACTCCATGGTGAGTGTTGACTTATGAACCAGGAGGTCACCGTTAAATTCCCAGTCAAGGTTTGGTATACAGAATCCATTGTCAGATTGGGGGAACTGCCTACGGCTGTTCAGGTGTTTGGCCAGCAGGAGGCAATAACATGTAGATTGCAATGCCCTCAGCTGTCTGGCAGCAAACAATCATTTATGCATCCTTTTCAGGTTTGGGGAAATGCCCTCAGCCATTCCCAGCTGATTCAGCCCTGCTGACACCCTGGAATTGGCTTCCGGCACACAAGGGTGGCTCTATTCTGAGAGGCTCTGGAAAGAGGATGGTCCCAGCAACAATACTGTTTTACAGCTGAGACTCAGAGAGCAGAGCTACTTGCCCTGTAAGTAACCAATCCCACCATCTGACCCAAAACTCATACAGTTTTCCCAATGCCCCGCTGCCTGCGCAAGGCTTCCTAGTGCCAACAAGCCGCAGCACATTCCTAACCCCCAATCACCAGACAACACAAAATGTTTAGTATCTTTCTCGTGACTCCATGGTGAGTGTTGACTTATGAACCAGGAGGTCACCGTTAAATTCCCAGTCAAGGTTTGGTATACAGAATCCATTGTCAGATTGGGGGAACTGCCTACGGCTGTTCAGGTGTTTGGCCAGCAGGAGGCAATAACATGTAGATTGCAATGCCCTCAGCTGTCTGGCAGCAAGCAATCACTTATGCATCCTTTTCAGGTTTGGGGAAATGCCCTCAGCCATTCCCAGCTGATTCAGCCCTGCTGACACCCTGGAATTGGCTTCCGGCACACAAGGGTGGCTCTGTTCTGAGAGGCTCTGGAAAGAGGATGGTCCCAGCAACAATACTGTTTTACAGCTGAGACTCAGAGAGCAGAGCTACTTGCCCTGTAAGTAACCAATCCCACCATCTGACCCAAAACTCATACAGTTTTCCCAATGCCCCGCTGCCTGCGCAAGGCTTCCTAGTGCCAACAAGCCGCAGCACATTCCTAACCCCCAATCACCAGACAACACAAAATGTTTAGTATCTTTCTCCTCTTATTATTCTAAAAAAAGTTGACAATAATTGAAAGGGCGAGGGCTATGCCCTCCATCTTGCCCCGTATCCTCCATGTTGGGACAGCAGCCATGTGCTACCTTCTTCCCGGAAGCCCAGGCCTCTGCTGGCCACGCCCGGGATTTTAAACTAACCAATGACAATCAAGGAACGTGTGCGCCATACAGATGACCACATCCTTTGTAGCAAGACACCGACTGGCGCCTGGCCAATCGGCGGGGCCCACACTCCCCTCTCCCGCCCTTACTCCAACCCCCTATAAAACCCGTGGTCCCATCAGGCTTCTCTCTCTTGGCCACTTGGCTTGCCGTTGTGTGGGTGAGTGTGGTGGACGGGGAGCTCAAGCTAGCTTGAAATAAAAGACTCTTTGCTTTTGCATCAGACTGACTGGCTCCCTGTTGGTCTGCTGGAGATCTTGAAATCTGGGCATAACAATAATAACCTGCAAATTGCAGAGAGTGGCGTGGTTTTTCATCCACCCACCCCATCGAACGTCATTCTGCATTCCTCACACATCGTCCTCTCCCCTTCCCTTCAAATCCCAGATGAAAACCCCTGGGGTGATGCAGGAGGCCCCCCAGAAAAAAGAATCCCCACCCAGGTTCCCTCAGCAGGTGAAAGCATTCCCGAAATAGATTAGGGGAGAGGAGGCTAGGAGCTGGATCTGTTCAGCTCTGTCTCGCAGATCCAGTGGAAGGGAATCATGCACAGGTAATTCTTCCATAGGTCATCGGTCCCGAAGTGGGCACAGTACTCTTGCCCATGGTAGTACCAATTGTCTGGCTGCGTTGGACTCCAGTTCCTAAGGAAAGCAGATAGATGTGGGTCCTGGAAGCCGGACCCTCAGCCAAGCCGAGGAGTCCCTCTTGCCTCAAAAACACCCAGCAGGGATAGCAGGACCCAGGCCAAAGGAACCGAGCACAGAGCACACACACTTACTGGAAGCTGGTATTATAGAATATCCCATTCACCCATGTCCAGGGATCATGTTGTTCAGTAAGGCCAATCCAGATGTCCATACGGTACATGTGTTGCTCAAGAAACTTCTGGGGGGAGACCATGAGGGGAGTGACTTCAAGTAGACAAACCAGCCTCCCAAACAAGCTCTCCCAGTCCTCACCTGCTCGTTCCAGGAGCTCAAAACCACCAGGTGGGCGTTCTTCAGCTGGCAGTGCTTCTCCGCCGCAGGCCTCCGGTCCAGTTTAAGAACCCACTGTGGCACTCGAGTCAAAAAGTTTGCCCACCCCTGGGCTAGGCGCTGCCCTACACACCACTCACCATTGCTCTTGAGCGCAGCCATCTGACAATGCAGGGAGTTCAGGTCGTTGACCAGTTGCTGGACTTGCAGGAGCATTTCAGAATAATCTGGGACACACAGAGGGCAGTGGGGACAATGCAGGGGGCCCAGCTGAGGGCCCTCCATGCTCTCCCACCACATCAGGCCCAGGGGCAGGGGAGAAGGGGCCTGACCTGCTTTGAATTCCTGCTGCTCTTTCTCCAGCTTGCTCTCCAGAGAAAACACCGTGTCATTCAGGCTACGGGCTGGAGGGGAGGGAACTCAGCACCCCAGGCTGCGCCCACCCCACCTCTGTCCTGAGAGCCCGGCCCCCACCCTTGCACACTCACTCCTGGAGGGCCTCTCACCTGCTTGCAGTTCCTGCTCCTGGTTTTCCACCACAGCTTTCAGAGATGTTATTGTTGTTTGCAAACTGCCACCTGGAGGACATGGGGACTCAGTGCTCAGGATTCAGCACCCCCTCCCCCAGCACGACCCCTCCCATCCAGAGCCCCTTCCAGCCAGGCTCACCCTGGGAGTGCAGTGCCTGGACCTCAGCCATCGTGTTGGAAGTGAAGTTGCTGAAAGTTGCTCTCAGGGTCTCCAGGTCCCTCCTCATGTTGGCATCTGACCAGGCAGGTGGGACAATGAGAGCTACGATTGCTCAGTCCTCTCTGTGCAGGCACTGAGCAGGGCACTTGACATACATTGGCTCATTGGGTCCTTACAGCCACCCCACTTCAAGGGACAGGCACTGTTGTTATCCTAGCTTGCAGAGAGGAAACTCAGGCTTCCAGAGGTTAGGCACTTGGACTACATTACCCATGAGTAAGCAACAGAGCCAGCAGCCGCCTTTACCCACCATGATCATCATCAGTGCCTGGGTTACTGTACCCACTATCGCCCCCTTCCCTGCCCATCCTGGGACACTCACTTTTGGATCCAATCACGCAGATACCAATCATCAGGAGAAGGATGAGGCCCAGAGAGAGCAGAAGGGGCCAGGGGCCAGAGCAGAGATGCTGCAGGAAGGCTGGGGGAGGAGGCAGCCCTGCAAGAGGAGAGGACATCAGGACATGGAGGTTGAGGACAGGAGAGACACAGGGGAGGAGCAGAGGGCCACAGGGACCTGTCAGGGATGAAGAGTGATGCAGGTCAAGCTGGGGAGAGGTTGTGGTGCAGGGGATGCCCAGGCATCTGACCCCTCATGGACCAGCACATGTTCTCAGTCACACAGACCCCCTCTCTCCCGGAAACACATGATGAGGACATGTAAGGTCTTATCATCAGGCCTGGAAGAGGGGGCAGGAGGACACAGAGGGAGCCGGGGCAGCCAGGCCCTCAGCAGGCTCGTGCTTATCTGTGTTGTCAGGTTAGCCACCGTTTTTCTTCCAAACATGACTGTTCACTCTCCCAGTGTAAATGCTCATGACCTTCCCCAGGGTATAGCAGCCAGGACTGCTTTGGTCCACCCTGATCCTGTCCTTCTTGAATCCTCTTCATATTGCAACCACCAGGAGCTAGAGCCTAACACCCACAGTGTGGGGGACCCCAGCAGTGCACATGGTAGAGGTGCAGATATACTGTGTCAGCAGAAATCCTTCTAAACATATTAAGAGAGTATTTTAGGAGACACCATTTCTCCTTTCCTCTTACCATTTCTAGAACCCTGGCTTTTCTTCTCACTCTCCAAGGACTGGAGGTCTTCATGCTTCATTGACATCCTTGGACCAACTCTGAGGTTGTCCGAACTGAAATGGAGGCAGGGCCAGTGACCAGGCTGGGACTGGAAATAGGAGACAGGGAAGGCTGGAACTAGGTTAGAGCTGAAGTCAGGGTTTGAGTTGAGGTAAGAGAAGAAGTTCAGGTTGAGGATGAACCAGGGGTTAGGGATACGAATGGGAATGGGCCTGGGTTTGCAGCAGAGGTTGGAAATAAGATCAGGATTGGTCTTTGGGCTGGGGATGGCTTGAATGTGAGATTGAAGTTAAGGTAGAGTTGGAGCTAAAGGTATTATTAGGACTGGGTCTTATATTGGGGATGCCAGTAAGGTTGTGTCTCCTCCTAGGACCAGGGTCAATACTGGTGTTGATGCCATGAATGGAGTGGGGCCTAAGTTTGGTGCTGATGTTGGAAATTGAAGAGAGTTGGGTTGGTGCTGGTGTTTGTAATGGGGTTAGAGCTGCGTCTAAGCTGGAGGCTGAAGATGGGGCTGGAACTGTGCTAGAGATGGGGCAACCCAAATCCAGTTACGTGAATAGAGTCTAAAATCTCCACCAGCTCATTGAATCTCCAAGCTGCCCTTTTATATCTCTTCCTATTTAGTCCCAGTTGAGACCCACAGCTCCCTCTCCCTGCTTTCTCTAACTCCCTCCCTGTCCCCTTGGTCTCACCTGCATCCCCAGCCCAGTTACCTGTGCAAAGTCTGGAGGCTGTGATTCTTGGGTTTGCCTTGCAGCAATGAGCAGAGTTGGATAAAATGAAATCCTGGAGAATGGGGTAGAGGTGAGCAAGGGAGGAGTCAGGTCAGTGGCTGGAGTCCTGCTGGTCTCTGTGTCTAAAAGCCAAGGAGTCTATAACCTGGGATCTCCCTTTTCTTCAACTTTGGTAGTAAATAATAATCGGAACCCAGGCAGAGATTGTGCGAGTGAAGAAGTTATATATAAGGCCAGCTTTGCTCCCCCCCACCTCACCCCTGCTCCTCCAGGGTGTGTCTGGTCCTTTTCAACTTCTATTGAACTCCCTTGACTTCCTCATTGTTGCCATTGTGGAGAGGAACCCCTCCCAGAGGGGTCCATAGGTACAGTTTGTTGCTTCTTCTTTGCCCCACAAAACCTTTCACTTCCTGCATCAGAATTTTCCATTATTGATAGTGCCTCCACCATTGCACACCCAGGTCCAGAAGAGCCTTTTTCTCAGTTCTTCCTCAATCGTAACCCAAGTCCCTGGCATCTGTGCTTCCTCTGGGGCCTGAGCCACCAAGCTCCCCCAGCTCTGGCCTAGCTCTGCTCACTCTTCCCAGAAGGAGGGAAGAGGGTGAAGGACAGTAGGATCCCTGGCCAGATTGGGACAGGAGGATCTGAGGACATGAACAAACTTTGATAGAGCATCACATTAACCATTCAGTTCCTGCAGAACCATGGGAAGAGGAATTGGAAGATGGCAGTGAAGGAGGTGGATCTTTCTCCCACCTCTTCCCAGAATTTAACTAGAACTGAACTAAATTGGGGAATAGTCACCCTAAAATACCAGCTGAAGACTGGCTGAAGAGGAGACTTTTAAACTAGGAAGGGCAGAGACCTCTCAAAACTGGTAGGAAAGGCAGGGAGCCAATGGGCACTGGCCCAGCACCAGGAGCTCCGGGCAAGGGAGCAGAGGGTTCCCCCAGAGAGGAGAGAGGCCTGGACACTAGGCAGGGCACACGAACCTTGACAGCCAGAACTGGCAATAGCCACCATGCACCAACCAGCATCTGTGCTTCTAGTAGCCAGAGACCTGAACTGCCCAGGGACAAAGCCCCTTTTTTAAAGGGCTAGTATACAGGATTTTCCCTCCCAGACACTCACCCTAGTTTTAGGCAAAGGGAGAACAGTGTGAACTATGAACAGATAAAAGTGGTCCTGCCCTCATAGAACTTCTATTCTGGTGGGTGACATATACAATAAATGAGTAAGAAATATATAATATTAGAGGCCTGGTGCACAAAAATTCGTGCACTTGGGGGGGTCGGGTAGGGGGGGTGTCTCTCAGCCCAGCCTGCACCCTCTCACAATCCGGGACCCCTCAGGTAGGGTCCAGTCCCATCACAGCATGGCTCTGGTTCTACAGATCCTGCGGGCAGGGGGAGGGACCCAGAGGCCAGTCAGATGGCAGCATGGCTCTATTCCCACAGCTCCCTTCCATTGCACCGCAGGCGACCAGGGCCCACAGTTCCCAACCACCATTGCACCGCAGGCAGCTGGAACCCAACCCATGCACAAATTCATCCACTGGGCCTCTAGTTTTAAATAATAGCCTTGCTGGTTAGAGTAGTGTTGGTTGTAGGTCTTTGTTTCTCATAACTTTGACTATTTCATGTAAATCCCTTCTGGCCAGAAATGTTTCTGTTGAGGAATTAGCTGACAGTCTTATGGGAGCTCCTTTTAGGTAATTAACTGTCTTTCTATTGCTGCTTTTAATTCTTTCTTTGTCTGTAACCTTTGACATTTTTATTATGATGTGTCTTGTTGTGAACCTCTTTGGATTCATCTCATTTGAGACTCTCTTTGCATCCTGGACTTGTGTGTCTTTTTCGTTCACCAGGTTTAGGAAGTTTTCCATCATTATTTCTTCAAAAAGGTTCTCCATTTCTTGCTTTCTTCTCCTTCTGCTCCCCCTCTGATGTGCATACTGTTATCCTTCATGGTGTCCCAGAGCTCCCTTAGACCAGTGGTTCTCAGCCTTCTGGCCCTTTAAATACAGTTCCTCATGTTGTGACCCAACCATAAAATTATTTTCGTTGCTACTTCATAACTGTAATGTTGCTACTGTTATGAATCGTAATGTAAATATCTGATATGCAGGATGATGGTCTTAGACCCCTGTGAAAGGGTTGTTCGACCGCCAAAGGGGTCGCGACCCACAGGTTGAGAACCACTGCCTTAGACTATCCTTATTATTTTTTTTTATTTTCTTTTTCTGTTCTGATTGGATGTTTCCTGCTACCTTGTCTACCAAATCACTGCTTTGATCATCTGCTTCACCTAACCCACTTTTTATACCTTCCTTTGAAGTGTAATTCATTTCAGATATTGTATTTTTCACTTCTGACTGGTTCTTTATTATAGTTTCTATGTGCCTATGTGCTCTTACTATCTCTTTGTTTTTGTTCTGAGTTCATCCGTTCTTCCCCTAAGTTCCTCGAGCATCCTTATAATCTTATAATCAAACTTTGTATCTGGTAGATTGCTTGCCTCCATTTCATTTAGTTCTTTTTCTGGGAATTTCTCCTGTTCTTTTATTTGGGGATGTTTCTTTGTCTCCCCATTTTTAATTTTTTGTTGGTGTTTTTAATACTCACCCAAGGATATTTTTTCACTGATTTTTAGAGAGAGTGGAAGGGAATGGGGAGGGAAGAGAGAGAGAGAAGCACCATTATGAGAGAGAGACATCAATTGGTTGCCTCCCACATGTGCCCCTAATGGGGCCAGGATTGAATCTGCAACCCAGGTACGTGACCTTGACCAGGAATTCAACCCACAACCCTTTAGTGTGTGAGCTGAAGCTCTAACCACTGAGAAATGCTGGCAGGTCTCTCCCCATTTTGGCTGCCTCTCTGTATTTGTTTCTATGCATTAGGCAGGTCTGCTATGATTTCCAGTCTTGGTATGGTGGTCTTATGTAGTACTTGTCCTGTGGGGCTCAGTTACACAGTCTCCCTTATAACCTGAGCAAGGTGCTCTGGGAATGCTCCTTGTGTGGGTTATGTAAGCTATCCTGTTGTAGTTGAGTCTTGATTGCTCTTGGCCCCTCCATGTATAGGCTTGAACCTCAGACTGGCTGACTGTGAGAATTAATCTCAACCATAGAGTATGAGATGCTGTCCGGGTGCTGACCACATTAAGTGGAATTCACCCCAGCAGGGTCTGCTGCCTGCTGAGATCTCCCTCTGAATACGCTGCTTATGGAGCTAAGTGGGTCCTGCTCTGATGTGGTCTGAAGCCCACCACTGGATGTGTTTCTTCTGGGACATCCTGGGAGGGACTCTGGTGCATGTTGATGTCAGATGCTGCCTGTGGCTGGCCCTGGGCTACCTGTTTGGAGAAACAAAGCAATCCACCATTTGTGGCTGTCTCTGTTGGGCCTGGGTGTGCCTGGCAGGGGTCAAGATGTGCACCAAAGCTGGCTTCCAACATCATCAAGCGCAGGAACAGGTCAGCAAAAGGCCTAAGACACGCCAAGATGTGCTTCCACTGCCTCTGCATTCTGGCTGCCTGTTAGGTTCAGTCACTGATCAGACTGTTGTGTTGAAACTTCCTTTGTTGCCAATTCTACCTGATTAGTTTCAGCTCTTTAATAGCTTAGCGGTTGTAGTAGTTGATGTCACAGGGGTTCAGAATATTGACACATGACTTCAAACAAAAGATTGAAGTGAATTTTTAGGAGATCCAAATGTGTTCTGTAACTGCTGGTAAAGAGTTCCAACATTCATGATTCATTAACCAGATCTACATATACCACATAGAACGAGGTGGATACTTGGTTCTTGTCTAGTCATTAATTTGTTATCCACCTACACTGACACAACACATTAATTATATTAACTGGTTAATGGACAGATCTCTACTTTGCTATTTGTTTTATAGGCAGTTCTAGCTTATAGATGCCAAATGTCTTGTCCTAACCTTGTGCACAATTCTTAGGATGACTTTTGGCCAGTCTAAACATTGCCTAGGAATTGTTTATCATGGCTGATACCCCTCCTGAAGCATGTATACTGTTAATTTCTGCTTAAGAATCTCCAACAAAGCAAATATTTACACAAAGAGGGTGATTCCCCTCAAGCCGCAGGGGTAGATCAAGCCAGTGGTACCGAAATAGACATGACTGTGTCCAGTCCCCAAGATTTTAATCACATTTAATGACTGTGCAAGTTACGCCAGGAAGAAGGAACATGTGATGTTTCTCTGGGGCTTTGTAATATAACTTATGTTTTATTTACAAGGCTGCAATAGAGGGGTTATGTGATTGCTTTCTCCCCAACTCCACTTACTAGCTATTTGTATAAAGCTATATTTGGTGTTTTTTAAAAACACTGAGAACAAGGCAAGGCAAAAGAAGAGGAAAGATGTTAGGATAAAGGGAAGTTTCCCACAGGAATTACCAAGAATTTATTTCATAGAGGAAGGCCTCAATTGCTTCTTGCTCATGGAAATGTTTTCACCTGCCTTGCTAAAGCCTTGATACTCATATCTGGGACGTATTAAGCAATTCAGAAAGTTTACTCATTAACTTTGATTGATCTAATTCAGTGATTCGCAAAGTGGGCGCTACCGCCCCCTGGTGGGCGCTGCAGCGATCCAGGGGGGGCGGTGATGGCCACAGGTGCATTTGTTTTAACTTTTTTTGTATTACCTTTCTATTCTGAGTTCAATAAATAGTTTCATAATTTCAAACTTCAATGTTTCTAATTTACACCTTTCTTTACTATATTTTACGAAAAAGGTAGAAACATTAATACATATATCTTTCTGTTTAATTGCTATTAAAATTTTAAAAAATTAATTTCCAGGGGACACTGAGTAATATTTTTTCTGGAAAGGGGGCGGTAGGCCAAATAAGTTTGGGAACCACTGATCTATGGGAAAGAAAATGCTCTTTTCACTATAACATAGGACTTTCCCAGGCCTCACCTAGCTTCTTCATTCTGTTATTTTATGGTTGCTAAAAATTAGTCCGTGTGTAATGCATAAGGTTTCACAAAAGAGTATATACTGTGTGGTTTCATT